GTACTTGTTGAATCAATAAAACTTGCTGAGCATGTAGAAATGTAGGAACCAGACAAGAAATACAGAACAGCGTTATCAAATCCTACTTTGTGTGTTATCTTTAAGAGCCACTAGTGAACATCAAAGATAAAACTAGTGGTCACCTATTCCAGGTTGGGGGCAGGTGAGACAGAATAGGATTAATAAGTGACAAAGTGGAGCGGAGAATTGTCTCAGCTGGAAAATGGGGTGAGTCAAGAACCAACTGATGACAGGGTATAGCAACCAAAAAACTGCCTTGCAGGAGGTAGGGAGTGTACATCCTGTTGAAAATATCCTTAATTTGCCTTTTAAAAGATACATTTAAAACTCTAGGTCAAAATCTTTTGAAGCAGTGCGCTATTTGCATATATGGATATTGTTAGGCTAGATTTTAAAAGCTAAACCTTGTGAAATTTAAAATACCCAACTTCCCTGGTGGTCCAGTGGCTAAGACTCCACTCTCCCAATGCAGGAGGGAACTAGATCCCACATGCCGCAACTGAGTTCGCGTGCCGTAACTAAAGACCCCGCATGCTGCAATTAAAGATTCTGCATACTGCAACTATGACCCGGTGCAGCCGAACAAACAAACAAACAAACAAATAAATAAATAAAATATTAATAGATAAATAAAATAAAATACCCAGAGTCTTGCTTCACCTTCCCAGGTCCTCGGTATTGTGCTTTCCAGGGTTTTGAACTGCAGTTCATTTAAGAATTAAGATATAAAATAGGTAATTTCTTTCTTTTTTTAAAAATTCTTTTGGCCACACCATGCGACGTGTGGGATCTCAGTTCCCTGACCAGGGATCGAACATGTGCCCCCTGCAATGGAAGCATGGAATCTTAACCACTGGACCGCAAGGGAAATCCCAAAATAGGTAATTTCAAAATTAGAAATTTGTGGGTGGTGAGAAGACCAGGCAGCCAAAACTCTCAGAAAATCCTCATCTTAGAATGACCTTAACTTCAGCTTCTCCTCCTGCTAGGAGTTCGCCTATTAATGTCTCCTTGGAGTAGCTGTTATCACTGAAACAGTTAAGCCTTTCGAGGTCATTCAGTATGAGAGGGACACATGAACAAGGAAAATCTGAAAAATGTGGTTAGAGCCCACTAAACTTAGCATTCACATCTTAGCAAAGGTTAATTTTTATGTTTTTAGAGCAGTTTTAGGTTCACAACAAAATTAAGGGGAAAGTACAGAGAATTTCCCTGTATCCCTCCCACCCAACTTCCCCCTCTACCAATGCCTCTAACCAGATTAAGACAGTATGTTAAATGTGGTGATTTTACATGTACACAGTTTTTCATGACTCTCTTGTCTGACAAAGACAAACAAGTTAAAAGACTGTTTTGCACAATGTACGTTTGTGGCAGCTAAGATAAGTTTCTGATAGTTCAGCATGATTACCCTTCAATTTTCCTCGAAGACCAAGTCGATCACTGTCCCAAGGGCACCAAAAGCAGCTCCTCTGCTATTTCACACAGGCTTTCCTGTTGTTGGTGCGATGTGTCAGCTGCCTTCATTCCACCACCTTCCCTGCCAGACTTAAACTGTCAATGATCATTTTCCCTCAAGTAAATGAAAAGAATAAATCTTCTGAAACTAATTGCATATCATGCTGGATTTATCTGTCTGTGTCTTGTCATTGGTCAACTAGGGCTTTGAATTTTGACTGAAATGTAGTTTCATCATAAAGATTACATGGAGTCAACCCAACCCTTTCTCATGCAGCTCCTGGGAAAAACTGCAGTGGAGACAATTCAGTACAAACATGTAATAGTAGGGATAATTAAACAAATTAGCAGAAATCTAGTGCTTTGATTCATTAGCTTGTTCTTTATCACATACTTATTGTACTTTGGGCCAGAGGTGGTGCTTGCCACACAATAGTAAATAAATCAGCAGTGGCCCCTATTCTTAAGGAGCTCTGTCTAATGTGGTTGTTCTCAATGGGCTGATTTTTATCCCCCTGCAAAGAACATTTGGCAACATCTGGAGACATTTTTTGGTTGTTACAATAGGAAAGGCGCTACTGATCTCTAGCAGGTAGAGGCAAGGGAGGCTGCTAAACACCTTTAATCCACAGGACAGCTCCATAACAAACAGTGTCTATAGCGCCCCAAATAGCCACAGCCCAAAAAGTCAATAGTGCTGAGGTTGAGATACTTTAGTTTTATGAATGGAAACATGTTACAGATTTACTGAACAGTTTGTTTGGGGTTGATACAGACATCTCAAACCTGCAAAGAGAAATAGGTCCAGCCAACATCAGAAGAAGGCACAAGGATGCACAGATGGTTTTGCTCACTGTGATGTTTTCAGATTCCAGTGCAATGATTCTCAATCTAAGGGCCAATGTAGAATTCCACAGAGTCTTAAAAACTTTTGGTGACCAGTTTGTACTTCTACTAGGTATCCAGTAGAGAAATGTGGAGCCCAACAGAGAGTTGGGGTTAGCCCAGACCCTACAGTGCTCTTCTTTTCCCTTTCTTTTCTTTCTTTCTTTCTTTTTCTTTCTTTCCTTCCTTCCTTCCTTCTCTTTCTTTCTTTCTTTCTTTCTTTCTCTTTCTTTTCTTCTCTGCCTTCTTTCCTTCCTTCCTTTCTTTCTTCTCTAAATTCCTTGAGCATTTAGATAACTCTATTTCACACTTTACTATGTATAGCTTTGAAGCTATAGTCTGATCATTTTATGAACGGAAATATTGTCTTCCCAAGAGATGACACAACGTGAAATTTCATCTCTACTTTTTGTCCTCCTTGGCCTAATGTAATGCTAACCATTTAACAGGTGCTAAATAATTGGTTCTTAGTGACTTAAACAAAGGAAGGAAAGACTCATAAAAGCTTCAAATGTAGAGATAGGAAGAAAGAGTGGTATCAAATGTGTCATAAGATGACAACTAAGCACAATGCAGTGGATCAGACGGGAAAAGCGCTATAAAGACTATTACTGGGACAACTGGTGCAATTTGAATATGGACTGTACATTAGACGGTATTATGGTATCAAAGTTAAATTTACCAAATTTGGTCATTGTTCTGTGTTTATGTAAGAGAGTGTCCTTGTTCATTGGAGATACATCAGGAAAGGGTAAAGGGTTAAGATTTCTGCAACTTAAATGGTTCAACAACACAAATAATAGTAATACTAATGTATGTGTATGTGCACTTATATGTATATACAGATATAAACAGACGGTGACAAAGCAAATATGGTAGAGTGCTAAAACTAGACACTGGAGGAAGAGTGTGTTCACTGTATTGTTTTCAGCATTTTTTCTATAAATTTTTCAAAATAAAGAATTTACAATTTACATATATATAAAAAATACTGTGATGAATATTAATTTAGGCTGGGCAGTTGCTTGAATGCATACATCAAAGAAGAGTGAAAGATACTTTCTTGGAAGTTACACCTTTGCCATCTGCTGTAAGAGTGAAAGATACTTTCCTGGAAGTTACACCTTTGCCATCTGGCTACAGTGGAAAGAGCAAGGTTCAATTGTGAGATGGAATTAAGCCAGTTAAAAGAAGTGTCATGCTTTTCTGATTGGGCAACATATGCCAAAGCTACAGTTGGATGAGAGCCTGTAACACTTGGATGGAGAGATTCTCTAGCTCCCTATTCCAGCTGAAGGGACAATGTCCAAATGCTCATTCCTACACTGTCAAGAAAAAATTTATTTTTCCACTCCCCTTGAACCTCTAACATGGTAGATCAATGGAAGAACATGGTCAAGGTAAATGTCAGAGGCCTAATTCTCTTTTTTTTTCCATCCCTCACTTCAAGTACTGGAAATATTCTGACTCCAGTCCAGTGCTAATTCTTTTAGACTACTAGTTTAATTTTTTTCTGCTATGGTGCTCCTAAATACCCTGTATTTCTCCAGAGGTTTCTACACCCCCAACACCTGAAACTCTAGAAACTCCATCATGATCTAGAGTGACTCCAGACTATTGTATACTCTTATCATCTGCTAACAGTGAAGAAGTAAACAACTTTTCAGCCCCATTGCCCCAAATTGGAACATCCTTGATTGTTTGGTTTCTTGGATTATTCAACAAGTATTTAATGAGTAGTACCAAACCTCCTCCTCTCCCAGCCTCTCACCATCTCAGGAAATGGACCTACCATTGCCCCTGGGGCCTGAAGCAGTGTTAACCTTGTTCACCTTTTTTTTTTTTTTTTTTTTGTGGTACGCGGCCTCTCACTGTTGCGGCCTCTCCCGCTGCGGAGCACAGGCTCCGGACGCGCAGGCTCAGCGGCCATGGCTCACGGGCCCAGCCGCTCCGCGGCATGTGGGATCCTCCCAGGCTGGGGCACGCACGAACCTGCGTCCCCTGCATCGGCAGGCGGATTCTCAACCACTGCGCCACCAGAGAAGCCCCACCTCTTTTTTATATCCGCAAGGACATCCGCAAGTTCTGCCAGCTCCACATTCAAAATACGTCTTGAGTCCAGCCACTTCTCACACCCTCATCCTAACCACCAGCACCTCTCACCTTGACAACCAAAATTGCCATCTTATGGAGCTGCTTCCACTCTTACCCCAGACAGTCTATTCTTCAAAATGCCTTTTGAATGAACTTCTCAAAATAGAAATCAAATCATATCGCTTCCATTTTCAAAACCATCCCACCGTTCCCATCACACTGAATAATTCAAAGTTCTTATTGGGGCCTACAAGGCCCTAAATACTCTGACCCCTTCCTACCTCTCCTACCATTTACCACCTAGCTCACAAGATTCCAGCCACACTACCTTTTAGCTGTTCTTCCATCATCCCTAGCCCTTCCTGCCTTCAGGCCTTTGTATTTGCCATTTCTTTCCCCTGGAACACTATTCCTGAAGTGTTCCAAGTCCCCTCCTCAGAGATTTTCCCCAATCCACGCAACCTAAAATTATTCCCCCACGCCACCCCACCATCACTTTTCATTCTTCTACCTTAGTATATACTTTTTTTCATAGCACTTACCATGAACTGAAAATACAGTATATATTTATGCATTTGTTTGTCTTCCATCAGAATATCAGCTCCATGAGTGCAGGAACTTTTTGTGTCTTGTTCACCACTGCATCCCCAGCCTCTAGATAAGGGTCTAAAGCAGAGAAGGAGCTAAATCAATATTTCTTGATGGAATGAATGCATAACTAATGCTCTCTGACCAATTTTCGAGACAAAGCTCCCTGCTCCAGAGTAGCTAGCCTACAGTTAATGTTGTTGGAACCACTGTCCTCAGAATTCTTGCTGTTAACTCTTCCCTTGTCCTCCTGGGAGCTCTTTTTTTTTTTTTTTTTTTTTAAATTTTATTGGAGTATAGTTGATTTACAATCCTTGGAGCTCTTAAAGGCCAGGAATAGGGGCTTCCCTGGTGGCACAGTGATTGAGAGTCCGCCTGCCGATGCAGGGAACATGGGTTTGTGCCCTGGTCCGGGAAGATCCCACATGCCGCGGAGCGGCTAGGCCCATGAGCCATGGCCGCTAAGCCTGCGCGTCCGGAGCCTGTGCTGTGTAACGGGAGAGGCCACAACAGTGAGAGGCCCACGTAACGCCAAAAAAAAAAAAAAAAAAAAAAAAAAAGCCAGGAATAGGAGAAGGTAGAAAAAGACAGTAACAGTGTGGAAAAGATCCATTCACTTTTCAGGTTTGGCATTACACATTGGTAGTAGAGTAGGTGCCCACGTACTGATAGGAAAGGCCACTGTGACAAAAAATACCTTCTCTACTAGACTATTACATATCCTGAAATTCTACTCTTAAGGATTAAATTATCAAGTCATCAACATCAAGGTGTTGATTCTTCTTCTATTATTCAGACCATTAACAAATTCTTAATAAAAGACGTTCTTCTCTATCCTCCATGCCTAGCACATGACTTGCATGTGTATATATTCAGTAAATATCTGTTGAATAAATGAACAGACTCTCCTTGAGTTTACTGCCTCATTTTCCTTGCCATGCACTTGTCCCTATTCTGCATGTCTTTCCTTTACCACTTCAAACTCTGATAGTTCCTTTCTAACTTTAATTATACACCTGGATTTTTTTCCAGAAATAAATACGCTAGCTACTGGTTAACAGCAAAGACCTTGGCATCTGAGATGAAGGGCACAGATGCTTTTCTGAAACCTAATCACTTCAGCCTACCGCTCAAACTTGCCAAGGGACTGATTCTGGCCCACGTGTTCCAAAGGTACCTGCCTGCCTTCCCACCCTGAGCCCCCCATTGCGAGGTGGCTAGCCTCCCCACTGTCCTCTGTGTCATTTTTACTCTCACCTTTATAACTGCTTATGTGTTCCTCCACCTTCTGCTTCCTTCAGCCCACGGAAGTAACATTCATTCTTCAGGGTTTGGATCAAAGAACATCTCAGACCATGCTAAGCTAATTAGTCTCGCTTTCCTCTGAAATCCTATAGCAATAAGTATTAGTACCACTTGGTTTTTTTGTTGTTGTTGTTGTTTTTTAAGTTTATTTATTTATTTATGGTTGTGTTGGGTCTTCGTTTCTGTGTGAGGGCTTTCTCTAGTTGTGGCGAGCGGGGGCCACTCTTCATCGCGGTGCGTGGGCCTCTCACTGTCACGGCCTCTCTTGTTGCGGAGCACAGGCTCCGGACGCGCAGGCTTAGCGGCCATGGCTCACGGGACCAGCCGCTCCGCGGCATGTGGGATCTTCCCGGACCGGGGCACAAACCCACGTCCCCTGCATCGGCAGGTGGACTCTCAACCACTGCGCCACCAGGGAAGCCCAGTACCACTTGTTTGAACACATAATTACATATTATCCTGGATCACAATCTAATTCTTCCTGCATTTATCTTGTTTCTCCAGTTTGATTGTATAATCAGGGAACATATTTTATTTTTCTCCTGTATGTCTTCTAAATTTCACACAGAGCCCAGCTGGTTGCTTTTACACAATACTAGAGCTCAATTAGTACTTGCTGAATTGCATAGTGTATGAATTAAATACATTTACCACAGGAGAAATGTAACTGCTCTCTAAATGGTTTGGATAAAGTCAAAGATGAATTCCAGGTCTTAGCATTAATAACAAGATGTCCCATCCTAGATCCCTGTTTCAAGACTGAAGGGCATATGAAGGCTCATAAGACATGATGGTGCCCTTCCTCCCTCATTCTCCTGAAGTCAGCCCTCACCAAATGCTTCTTGGCTTCCTTTTCTGAAATACAGGGAAAAAAATCTCACCACCATATTAAATAATTTGAATCTTTAAAGCATGTTTTTTACATAACTCATCCTGGTAACAAAATTATTTAATCTTTCAACTAAAAACAAACTCCAGATATATTAAAAATTAAGTTGACCTTCCATCACTGGAACTGTCTATCCATCATGAAATTAAATGTTGAATGCCTCATTTCAGCTCTGGAGCATCCCATCCCACCAGAAGAAAGCTATTAAAGATCACTTGGTCAGGGCTTCCCTGGTGGCGCAGTGGTTGAGAGTCCGCCTGACAATGCAGGGAACACGGGTTCGTGCCCTGGTCTGGGAGGATCCCACCTGCCGCGGAGCGGCTGGTCCCGTGAGCCATGGCCACTGAGCCTGCGCGTCCGGAGCCTGTGCTCCGCAACGGGAGAGGCCGCAGCAGTGAGAGGCCCGCGTACCGCAAAAAAAAAAAAAAAAAAAAAAAAAAAAAGGATTACTTGGTCATATCAAAAAGAGTCAAGAGCAACTTCACAAAGTTCCTACTAGCAAAAGATGGGATAATTTCAGCAAAATCAGAATAGTAATTGCAATAAATTTTGATTTACCAAATGTGTTTGAAATCCATAACCTAGTTTTTAAAAATCTTATAAAGTTCATTTGTTACCTTATAAAAATGCCAAGTGTCAGATGTGGAAACAAACTTATGGTTACCAAGGGGGAGATGGGGAGGGGCGCGGGATAAACTGGGAGATTGGGACTGTCATATACACGCTACTATATATATCAATAAAAGAGGTAACTAATAAGGACCTACTGTATAGCACAGGAAACTCTACTCAATACTTTGTAATGACCTATATGGGAACAGAATCAAAAAAGAGCAGATATAGGTTTAGGTATAACTGACTCACTTTGCTATACAGCAGAAACTAACACAATATTGTAAATCCACTGTACTCCAGTAAAAAAAAAATAATTAAAAAAAATGCCAAGTGTCAACTAATTTATTTGAAAAACTGGCACATTTCTTTTTACAGAAATATTCTGGCTAATTAGTAAAGGAAGAATAATAATGGAATATCACCCTGATAGATTGTATTATTGACCCAATTATTCACTCCTTCTAGAAACCACACCCTTTTCTATGTAACTTTGCAATGCCCTCCTGTTGAGCTACCAGGTGTCAAGTTGATAGATTAGGACAACAGCCAAACGGAAGACAACAATTAAGCCTTTCTCATTCATAGTAAGTCCCCTACTTATGAACTGAGAGCACAGTTCGTAAGTCCAGTTTGTTCATTAAGTCTGACAAAGTTAGCTTAGGTTCTCAACAAAGACAATCAGTTATATAGTACTGTACAGTAATAGGTTTATAATACTTTTCACTCAATTAATACATAAAAAACAAACACAAAAAATAAAAAAAACATTTTTAATCTTACAGTACAGTACCATGAAAAGTACAGTACAGTACCAGCTATATCACTGCTGCTTTTACAATTGCTTCTGGACATCCTGGGCTTGAAATAAAGAAACTGCACTGCTGTACTCTATACAGTGCTGTACTCTATACTCTATACAGTAAAGTACACAAAAGCACAACCACTTGTAGAGGATGCACGCATGTGACAGTGTATGCCAGAAACATGAACTAACTTACGTGATTAGACATGGGAATGCACGTTTGTTCTTTGAAAGTTCACATCTTGAAGGTTCGTATGTAGGGGACTTAACTGTACTGCAGAAATGTAGGTAAGAGGCAAAAGAGAAAGGAGCCAACTCCCCAGTGTTCTAGATTTCCCCGTGGAATGACACTGGACTAGGGTCAGTTGAATGCCTTGCAGAGAGGGAGAATCATCTCACTTCTGAGAATCCCTGAACTTTTGGCCTTTTTTTGTGGATCTAGGGACTGGAAGGAAAGAGAGAAAGAAGGGCTCAGAGGGCAAAAGTCCTAAGTCAAAGTGGAGACAAATGCCTCAGCCAAGGCCCCAATTAGGGGGTCTTGGAGGATACACCTGGGAAGAGCCTCGCTGAGGTCCCCAATAAAAAGAACTCTGAATGGAGGCACCTGGGCCAGGAATGTCACCATGTGTAAGAACATGACTGGTGGGGGGAGGGGGGCCTGGATCCTCAACTGTACCTCCAGAGATTGTCGTGTACTTTGTACCAAGTCTGGCGTGAGGAGGGCATCTTCTCCCCCTGAGGTCTGCCAGGCAAAGCCTTGTAGTGGACTATGGTCAGGCCTGAAACGTCATACATAGAAATTTGGCTGCAGCCTGGCTCTTCACTACCCACTGGAGGCAGGACTACTACCTCTTGACTTGGGACTTGGGGCATATGACTCGCTGTGGTGAACAAGATGAGGTGAAAGTGGTGGTAAATAAGCTAAATAAATACTTATTATCATGTGCTACTGAGATTGTTTGATCCTTTCTCATATAGTAATATCAATAGCTAACTGATACAGTATCCATTTTGCAACCCAAAATGGGTTAATTAATGGGTCTGGGCAGTGATCGCCAATGTTAAAACAAGAGACAACCAGATATGATGTGCCTCCTGATAAAAGTATACAATGCCACCCATGAAACAGCCTTGCCACAAATCAAAGCTGAAACTGATCAGACCTCTAGATCCAACTACCAATTTACAGAAAACACAAGTGATGGGAGAACATATTAAACAATACTAAAGTCCAGATTGTGGGAGAGTGATGACAAAAATCCAGTTTCTTAAACAAATAATTTGAAAGGGAGGAAAAAAGAGGAAGGAAGGAAATCAATAGATTGAATGAGATTTAGAGACATAAAAATCAATTGCCCTGTATAAACCTTATTTAGATCCTGGTTAAAACAAAAGCTTAAAAAATTATGAGACAATAAACATGATTTATTATTTGAATGCTGGATATTTGATATTTCAGCAAATGATTGCTAGTTATTTCAGGAGTGATAATGGTTTTGTGGTTATTCCATTTTATCTATTGCAGCAAACTTAGTGGCTTAAAAGAGCAACCATTCTATTAAATCTTTCAACTTTGTGGGTCAGGAATCTGAGCAGGGCTCAGCTGTGTGAGTTGTCTGCTCCACGTGGCACCATCTGAGGTCACTCACGGGTATTCAGTTGGCAGATGGGCAAATCTAGAGGGTCCAAAGTGATTTTATTCCTATGTCTGGCGCTTGAAGAGGAAGAACGAAAGGTTGGATTCTTGAGACTTTTGACCAGCGCACCTGTGTGTTCACTGGCTGTTCATTGTGGAGGTTTCAAAGTTGTCACTTTACCTAGCAGCTCAGGTCCCAAGAGACCCAGACAGAAGCTTCAAAGCTTCTTAAGGCCTAACCTTGGAAATGCCAGACTGACACTTCTGCCACATTCTACTGGTCAAGCTAATCTCTATGGCTGAGATTCAAGGTGCAGGGACTTAGATTCCACCTCTCAGTGGATGGAGTGGTTAAAAAATGTGGGACCATCTATAGTCTACCACAGCAATTATGTTTTTAAAAGGAGATGCCTTATTTTTAGACATATATACCAAAGGATTTATAGATGAAAGGTATGCTGTCTGGGATTTACTTCAAAATAATTGGGGTGAGGAGAGGATAAGGGTATTGATGAAATAGGATAAGCCATGAATATATAATTATTGGAGCTGCATGACAGCTATGTGGGGTTCACTGTATTATTCTATCTTCATATATGTTTGAAATTGTCCATAAAAAGAAAGGTATCTTATTTTTTTCAAACATTTTTTTTTTTTTTTTTTTTTTTTTTTTGGCCGTGCTGCCCAGCTTGTGGGATCTTAGTTCCCTGACCAGGGATTGAACCCGGGCCCTCAGCAGTGAAAGCGTGGAGTCCTAACCACTGGACCACCAGGGAATTCCCAAAAGAAAGTTATTTTTAAAAGTTTAAGTTTTCCTTTAACTGAAAGCTACGTAATAATAAAATAAAAGATCACTGGAAACACCTCTGTGCTATGCATTTGGTGTATCTTTACTGATATTAAATACTGAGAAAACCTATATAAATTACTATGACGGATAGGAACTCAGGTATTTGGAATTTGAAGGAGAAAGTTTTATTTCCTTAGATTACTGTTGTACAATTGTATGTATGATGTGAATTTACAGATGTCTTATATTTGAAATACTGTCAATAATTTTAGCGGTCTGTAAAGAGCTTTCAATACCTAGTACAGCACAAACTCAGCTGGCTGCTTGATTACGTGGTTTTAAAAGTTTACTTTTAAATAGTTATAGTGGCAAAATCCTTCCAGGAAAACGGTCAGCTACTTTTCAGTTAAAAATTAACATGCTTTAGTAACTACATTTTCCCTTTAGGCGTAATACTGTGACTGAATTTTTTCCTTCCATTTAGATCTGTCGCTTAAAAACTCTCTTAACGCCAGCACAACTCAATGAATAACTAAAGTAAAACGAGAATTGCATGACGTCTGAACGTGTAAAAGGTACCTAGGATTTTCCATTTCCCAAACTCTGCATTACTTATTTTCGTATTTACTAGGTCTATTATTGAACAATCTGCAACCCTTAATAATCAGGTTCCTCCTGATCCCTCTTTATATATAAAAACATAGAGGCCAGGCCACTAACATTTACATTACTAACTATATGGCCAAATCTCTATAACTACCAAGTTGTTAACTGTGCCTTACGGAGGATCCCAAATCCACACAGTACCTGTACAATAAGACTTGATGCCAAGATTTATTGGGACACTACCTCAATTAAGGCTGGAAGTTCAGCCTCATTTGACAAATATGCAGTGATTCTGAAGAAGCAATGCTTGAGGAAAAGGCAAATGGCTTTGACATTTGTGCCATGTTTGCATGAATGACTTTCCCTCTCCATCCCAAAACTACCAAGGGCCTTCGTGGAAGATTCTCCTTTCTGCAATGCTCCCACATAATCCTGAAGTAGGAAAACTAAAGAATGAATTAGAACTCATAGTCATGGGACCCTGGGGAAGACACATTCTTTCTGTGCCTTGGTTTCATCATCTATATGATAAAGATTACAATTTCTGTCCCATCTACCACACAGAACTATTAGGACCATCAACTTCTACAATGTTCTCTGAAACAACTTTGGAACCTTATAGCTCTCTGTGAGAGAATTACTACTATTCTACATACATGAAAAAAAATTTTTTTAAGGAAATCTAGAGCTATTTTATTCAAAAAGAAATTTTCGTTTCCAATCCTTTTAGTATTCTCCACCATTTTTTTTTTCCTTTAGAGAATCAGATGCCATCATTTTTAAAAACAGGAAAAATACTTAAATCACATGGACATGGAAGTGACCACTGGTCACCTCTCTCCTTTTTCCATTCCAATAGAACCAAGACTTTATTCACAGTGACAAAGTGCCCAGCTAAAAGACTGTATTTCCTGTCCCATATTACAGCTAGTTATGATATTGTGACTATGCCGAACACTGTGACAGATTATTTAGAGATTTGGAGGCAAACATGAAAACCATCAATTCAAAGAGTAGAAATCACCCCTCATCTCTCTCTTCACCATGTGTCTCTCAGCTTGGTTTATTTTTCTGTGTAAACACCAAACTTTCTCCAAAGTGCTCTCAGCCAGCCATCAAACGTGGAAAAACCTGAAGGGTTCTTTCGCATTAAAGCGTTAATGGCTTATAGTAATTTAATGTTCGAAATTCTTTAAGGGCAGTTGAATTTAATACAATTCCCCAAACAAAAGAAAGGCTAAGATAACTCGATCCCCGTACACCATAATAAAAATGTGATAACGTCTAAAATTGATAAATGAAGAAACAGTAGTGTGAACTGGATTACAAACAAAAGAAACAGCTAAAAGATTACAAACAAAAGAAACAGCTAAAAGATTACAAGCACGGAATGAAGAGTGCTGAGGTAGAGGCAGAGTCCTATTGTTTTTCTTAAGGAACAGATCATTTCTATACTGTTCTAATTATTTTGTTGTTGTTGTTAAATTTATTTATATTATTTATTTAATTTTGGCTGCCTTGGGTCTTCGTTGCTGTGTGCGGGCTTTCTCCAGTTGCTGCAAGCGGGGGCTACTCTTCGTTGCGGTGCACGGGCTTCTCATTGCGGTGGCTTCTCTCATTGCAGAGCACAGGCTCTAGGTGCTCGGGTTTCAGTAGTTGTGGCACGTGGGCTCATTAGTTGTGGCACGTGGGCTCAGTAGTTGTGGCTCGCGGGCTCTAGAGCGCAGGCTCAGTAGTTGTGGTGCACGGGCTTAGTTGCTCCGTGGCATGTGGGATCTGCCAGACCAGGGATTGAACCTGTGGCCCCTGCATTGGCAGGCGGATTCTTTTTTTTTTTTAATTTAATTTAATTTTTTATACATCAGGTTCTTATTAGTTATCTATTTTATACACATCAGTGTGTACATGTCAATCCCAATCTCCCAATTCATCCCACCACCACCTCCCCCACCCCGCCACTTTCCCTGCTTGGTGTGTCCGTACGTTTGTTCTCTACATCCGCGTCTCTATTTGGCAGGCGGATTCTTAACCACTGCGCCACCAGGGAAGTCCTCTATACTATTCTAAACCTTTAAGCCTTTGCTACTTCTGCTAACCATTTTTAAAAAGGCATGTGTAGATATTAAATTGAAGAGAAGTTGAAAGCCACTGTGTAACAAGAGTTCAAACACTCTGAATACCTGCCAGGATCCTGGTTCCTTCTGAGCAGAGGGACTTCTAGGTGGTTCCTTGAATATATCTCGACTTGCTCTTGTGTCATGTGACCACAGCTGAAACGAAACAAAAATTGGTTCGCTGACCAAAGGCAACCAGTTTATGTAGGTTGAGGAGGTCTTGCCTCAAAATCAATTCAACTAGGACAATCTATATTGGAGGGTGACTAATGAACCCAAATAGATCCTCTCTTAGGAAGATACGAATGCAAAAGAAAGAGCAGTTGGAAGAAGTGAAAAGAGAGAACAGTAGAAAAGGAGGCCAAGCCGAGCGAGACATTCAGAAAGAAAAGCTAAATTGCAATCATGCTGGAGTGGCAAGAAAGAGCAGGGGCAGTGCGCCTGCTTCTGAGGTGGCCATGAGCTCACTGGGCAACACAATTACTGCTGAATGCTGAAGGACAGTTCTGCATGGATGGGGTCAGTACATGCAACTGCCCAGAGGTCTCCTTTGTTGCCTGTGTTGCATAATTTTGTAAACTTATTACAAACGTCTCTTATCTGAGACATGTTTGTTCCTTCCAACATGAAACAGATTGTGGGATGTGGTCGTGTGCTGCAAGATGGATCTCTCCCCTCCCCTGGCACCATCTTTTCAGGAATACAGCCTTCACTTCTCTAGTTACAGGAGTATTGAAGGCTGACATCTCTCAGCTGAAGCACTGGAGAACTGCCTCACTCAAGGTCACTGCCCTGGAAGCAGCCCTCATCTAAAGATGAAGTGGGAGGGGGATGACAGTGAAGGCACCCTTGCTTCCATCGGGACAATTTATAGGTCCAGAGCTCCACAAGCTATCAGTTGAGTCCTTTGTTGGGACTGGACAAGAATTCATCTTTTCCTTCTGCTTTTTCACTCCACCATAGGTATTAACACTAAGAGCACTCCCCTCTCCCCCACCATAAACGTCCTACATGCAAATCTCAGATTACCAATGGATGTCTGTTTCTCTGGGAACGCAACCTAAAGCAAAGGGCACGTTGGTTCTTAGGCCAAATAAGACAAGCAAGGCTTGTTTCTGTCACCCTTCTACCAACATCTCTGAAAGTTCCTACCAGGCTTAACAGCTGTCAAGCTCCTCTTCCCAAATGCAAGTCAGTCATCAGCACTAATGAGTCCAGCCAGCTCAACCTCAATAATGTTCACCAGTACAGCCATGGGAAATATCTCCAGGGACAGGCAATGGCTCATAACCGCAGCCACAACCTTCTCAGCTGCCTTTGCCAGGGTACATTGAGCCTGTACTATCACTGGCCAGATAGAGACAGTGAAGGTATAACTGCAGCAGGGCATAGAAACCAACGCTCCAGTCCACGGATACAAGGATGCCCTTCTAGAGCGGATGTGGCCATCAGACAAGATGTCTTGGCAAAGATGGCTTTATGTGAGTCAGAAGCCTGCATTTTGTTTCAGGCTGTTTCAGGTTGTCATCTTCACGGAGATGTCTGTAATACTTGCAGCAAAAGCTCAAGCTTGAGAGACTCAGCTGCTACAACCTAAGAGTGGCAGACTGGCCACTCATTATGACCATGTGGACAAGCTACTATTATGGAAATCCGGCTGCATTCAAAATGTCTGTGCCAATGTGATATATTTAAAGGTAAGTCAAGAACTTCATCTCAGCCCTAACCAGCAAACCTTAACAGTGATGGAATTAAGTAAAACACATTGACTTTGTGTTGTGAATGAATATCAGGGCGCAAAATGAGGTGTCTAAGAAACACCACATTTCTTTAAACAAACTTACTTATCACTATGAACCGCTTGTCTATCAGCCTGGTAAGAATGCAACTTCAATGACCTTCGGGACTTATCTTCCAAGGAGAGTTGTGCAAAGGTCCTGGGGCTGACATAGCGAAATACTAGTTACTGTTGCTTCACCCATCTCACAAACCACACTCATGTCCTGTGGCTCTTCTGCGTCAATCCTTCCTACCCAAGTACTCACAAAACCATTCCTGTGCTCTCTCAGTGCCACTGCAAGGGAGCAAGGCCAGGGTATCCACAGCTCAGGGTTGCAAATAGGTTTCAGTGCCTCAGGGAACATTTTCTCCCGGCCTTAGGACATCTCAAAGAAATGCCTCTCCCTTTCTCCTCAAGGAAACCTAGCAGAAGCCCTTCAGAGCTCCTCAGCCCTAGGAGTTAGGTTTCTTCTAACCCCACAGGATCCCTTGGCCTTAGGCTATTTCTGCTTTCAGCCCAGTCATGAGCCCTGAGGCAGAGAATGGCAAAACCTGATGAAAATGAGGGGGAAGAGAAAATGCTGGAAGAACAAACAGAATTTAGTAATTCAGGAAATTATCCTGCTACCTTCCAATGGCTTTCCCTCTCACTGAGCAAACAACTGCAAGTCCCTACTGTGGCCTATAAAGTCCAACATGACTTGATCTCCTGCTCCCCCTTGGACGCTGGCTCTTCCCTTGCACCCGCTCATAATTCCACTGTAGTCACACTGCTTATTTACACTCCTTGAACTTGCCGACCCCTCTCATCAGAGCCTTGTGGCAGCCAGCCTCCAGGATGATCCCCAATGATCTCCATCTGATGGTATTCATGTCCTTACAGAGTCCCCTTCTATGCTGGATGGGAGTGACCTGTGAAACAATCGGATTTTGCAGAGATGATGATGTGTAACTTCTGAGCTGTGTCTATAAGACATGTGGTTTCTACCTTGCCCCATTTTGGACTCTCTGCTCTGGGAGCAGCCAGCCAGCCACTGTGTCATGAGGACAATCAAGCAGCCCATGGAGAGGTCCACGTGGGTAGATACTGAGGCCTCCTGCCAACGACCAGCATCAAGGGGTTAAACCATTTTGCAACTGAGTCCTCCAGCCCCTGTCAAGCTTTCAGAGACTATAGGCCTGTTTAACATCTTGACTGTAACCTCTTAAGAGATTCTAAGCCAGAGCCACCCAGTTAAGTCACTTCCAAATTTGGCCCACAGAAACTATGAGATAATCAATATCTATTGTTATTTTAAGCTGCTAAGTTTTGGGATAACTTGTTTTGCAGCAATAGATAGATAGTACAGGCCCTTGACATGCCTTCCTCAGAAAACTTGATCTCAAAATTCCTACATGTCTTCTATACTCCCTTAATACTGCTCTAATATCTCCTTGTAAGAAGGCCTGCTCTGACCGCCTATGTAAAAACAGCACCCTCCCCCCACTATGACATCATGCTTGGTCCCCATTTCTCTGCTTTATTTTCCTTCATTGTTCTTTATAACCACCTGACATATTATATGTTTATTTGTTTACTATCTGTACCCCCATGCTCAAATGTAGGCTCCCTGAGAACAGGGATTTGTTTTGTTCACTGCTGTATCTCCAAGGTTGAGAACAGTGTCTGTCCCATGGTAGGCATTCAGTAAATATTTCTTGAAGGGAGGAAGGAAATTAAAAGTCAGCAAAGGGTCATGATGAAATCATGCAGTCAGGCTGAGGATATGAGACTCAACGCGTGCCCTGAAGACAAAAATAACAGATAGTTTTGGGGGTGGTATCTTCCAGCTCTGGTCCAGGCAATTAAACCAAAGAGAGGGATGCAAAATTATAGTTTGTAGGAGAACAAGGAAGGACTGAAAAGATAGGAAAGGTTGAATCTATGAGGGAACACCACAAATGCCAAGCCAAGGAGCTTCAGGGCATCTTTCAAAATCACAAAGCATGAAACATGATTCTAAACAAATCATAAAACTAATTTAAGAAATCAAAGAGTTTGGACTTCTCCCATGGCACAGTGGTTAAGAATCCGCCTGCCAATGCAGGGGACACAGGTTCAATCCCTGGTCCGGGAAGATCCCACATGCCGCGGTGCAACTAAGCCTGTGTGCCACAACTACTGAGCCTGTGCTCTAGGGCCCGTGAGCCACAACTACTGAAGCCCGTGCACTTTAGAGACCAAGTGCCGCAACTACTGAGCCCACGTGCTGCAACTACTGAAGCCCGCGCCCCTAGAGCCTGTGCTCTGCAACAAGAGAAGCCATTGCAATGAGCAGCCCGCGCACAGCAATGAAGAGTAGCCCCTGCTCGCCACAACTAGAGAAAGCCTGCGCACAGCAATGAAGACCCAACACAGCCAAAAAAAAAGAAAAAATAAATCAAAGAGCTCGATACAAAGGCAAAGGATTTTATAGTGTTAATGTGCTCTTGTTACACATTTCTCCTGTGTGTAATTACTTATTAATAATCACTGAAAGATTTTAAGCATTTAAAATCGAAAAGGTTATCCCATCTCAAGTAACGTTTAAGATAAGTCCAGATAGAAGTTTGTGCTTTCAGGAATCCTGTGAGCAGCCAAAACACAATCTTTGTAAAAGGATTTTGCCTGATACCTATCAGAGCTTAACACTGAATTAACAACAGACAAGGATTTGAGTAGAGGTGGCTATTTTCTGGAATACATGTGAAGGGGTCATTTATGTGTATCATGAGCTTCTTTTATTTAAAGTGCCAGAAATAAAACATTTTTTGAAGGGGAAAGAATCAGAGGCTGGCAACCAGGGCAAGAAGTTGAAAAGAGGTGTTTTTTTTTTTAACATCTTGGCACATACTCTGGGATAGGGCTTTTTAATTTTCTAATCTATGTATTTATCTTAAAATGCATTAAAATAGTTCAGTGTATTCTATCTCACCTCATTTCCATTTATCTTTCTTTATCTCCCTTATTCTGACCACTGCCTATTTATATTTACTGAGTTTGTTGGTCCATGGCTGCTCAGCATATTTGTTGAAGATCTGAAAGCAACGATTTGACGCTTGCTCCATTAGTAATATTTTAATACCAGCTCCACGTTTTCCAAATGGGCTCAACTCTTGTCTTTATCTCTTGTTTAATGTTTGGGAGGTAAACCTATTGAATATTTTCTTATCAGAGCTCCCTTGCTTTCAATGAAGCAAGTACGAATGCCTATTTCACTGTCTGTTTCACACCTTCTATAAAACACTGTTTTTGCTCAAAAAACAAGAAATGTAAAAATGGTGAACAAAGCACTCAATGAATAGCATGCTCTTTAACGCGTATATATTACTACTTGCTGTAAAATAACTCAGAATCA